TTAATATTTGTCACCATGTTTTTAAAAATATTTATCAAAGTAAACAAAAATATTCAGAGATGAAAGTGCCATACACAAAAAATTCATATATATAACCTAGCAAACCTTATATTGTAAATTGAAGTATCTGAAGAAAAAAGGAGATTAAATTTATGATCCAAAAAGGTAATATTACTAAATGTCAGAGCCAGATTTGAAACTCACAAAATAAAAATGCTACACCATTGTTTCTCTTTATTCATGTTTAAATTCATATGGATTTTACCATACGAAATCCATAAATTAAAACTTATAAGAATCTTTTTGTACAGTTTAAGCTATAGAATTATTATGAGTGTTACAATTAGGGTTTCATGTTTTAGAATGTAAATTTAGGAAAAACAATATATACATAGTTAAATCACAACCAAGTTGGATAATGCCACAGGTAAACAAAATTCAATAAACACTTTGGTGATTTCAAATGTGCTGAATTATGAGGCAAACAAAACTACTTTGGACATTCCCAGAATTAAGATAGTATATCTGCTGTTGAACCGTGATACTATAACTTTAGGAAATTATTCAGCATATAGTATTTAAAAATTACAGCAAAGCAGATGAAATTATAGAATGTCCACAGTGAAAAAGCAGACATACAAATCTATTAGACTTTATAAAACATCAACCCTTAGAAGAGCTGTATTACTTCATTTTTACTACTTGTTCAAGCTTGTCCTTGGCATATATACATGCATAGTTGTTTTTCAAGAATAACATTCTACTTTAAAGAGATACCAAACAAAGACTGAAATCCAGAAACATGCACAAGCTAAAAGATGAATAAACATAATAAATGTCATTTGAAAACCTAATGAACTAGGAATGAACTGTTAGTGCATCTACAAGAGAAAGAACAAGAAAAGAGCACTAGTAATTTTTAATTTAAAATAAAGTCAATGAAAACCTAAGATAAACAATGAGGTTAAGTAAATGTCAGATCATCATATAAGTTGATTATCATCCTCTCTTCCCACAGTATTTTGAGATTCACTACATTTAAAATATTATAACATGCAAATTATTTCACGGTTCATAAAATGTTAATAATTATAAACATGTATAGTGATACAAGACTCAGATTTTCACTACATTACTTAGTTTTAAAAAAATAGAGATATATTCCTAGTTACAGTTGCAAATGCAGGTCTTTGAATTAGAAACTCAGATCCCCAAACTCAGTTCTATCAGATTTATTGGTAACCTAGACAAAATAATCTTTATCTTATTTCAAAGAATATCTTTCCACAAAGTAAATCTGTATATCTCATTTTTTTTGGGTGTGAGAGGTTTTTGCTATAGGGTGCTTGCGCTCGGCAGAAAGACAGAGAGAGACAGAGAGATAGAAAGCGAGAAATCTCCCCCCAGGGAGGATGTGTATCTCATTTATAAAGATACCATAAGAAATACCCCATGACTCAGGTATAACAGAGAAAGTAAAAGATTTCAGTTAATAAATAACTATACCTTTAATGGTGTGGTATTTACTGCATTGTATTGTATGGATGTGACACATAACTATGGTCTCATACAAAGAAAAATCTTTTCTTTTTACTCCATTAGATATTTGTGTCTAAACAGAAAACAAAAACTGGTCATTCTTAATTTTTTAATTTGGAAGGATGCTTTCAAAAGGCATAGTAATTCGAACGTAATCATTATATGACAAAGAGTATTTCAAAAGGCAATAAAATCAAATTCAAAAATATTTTTAACATGTACTAAAATTGCTCATACTAAGAATAAAACATTACCACGCTGATTAGATTGGTCAAGACCAACATTTACTCCTTGACAACTGTGAGACACAAAATAGAAGGAAACTGTATTCTTTATTTTTAACTTCAAACTTTACCATATCTGAAAAATGACTAAGTTCCATTCAAGTATTTTACAGTTATAGTTTAGGATGCTTTGATTCATCAGAAATGGATGAATAGTATGTAACACTATACTTAAAACTTCAGTGTTACTTTTCAGACAGTTACGGCAGTATAGTCGTGGCTCCATAACATAAAGTCCATTCGAGTTGGATTATTTAAACTTGCAATAAATAGATGTATTTTCTTGGAAAAATATCTATTGTTACAGTAAAACTTGAGTTTCCTTTCTAACGAGATTGTATGATTACTCGTTTATATTGTTCTTTCCGCAGGAATTTGCACACCCCCTGTTTGCATCCTGTTATTCACTTGGAGCTTCCCTTTCACTTCACTATACTGGTTCCCTAACAGCCAGAGAGTGGATCTCACTGCACACAAAAATCCTAACTGCTGTCAGCATGCTCTAAGTTTGCATTTAGCATTTGCTCAGTTCTTAAGGATTTCTCACAAAGCTTTATTTTCTGTGTGCTCTGAAATGTTGCATTGCCTTTCCAGACAACTAGTAGTCTGGAGAAGACGACTTTGGGATCCTTTTTTAACCAACTGTTGCTCTCATATTCCTACTAACTCTATGTTCCTATACTCAACAATCTAAGAAACTGCTAAAGCATATATCTTAAAACCAACCAAACACATTTGGAATGTTTCTAAGAGATTTTTTAATCTTGGAGTTTAATCCATTTGAAGGCAAAAAATATTAAAATTAGTTTAAGGCACAACATGCTTGGTAAATAGCAATTCCCGGTTTCTCTATTGAACCTATTGGATAAACAATGTTAGGGGTATGCTCTACAATTCGTATTTAACAAGCTTTTCAGGTAATTTTATGCAATTCTTGAAGTTTGAAAACTAGTAATGAAAACGATTTAAAATCAAAGATAGTATAGTTGATGAAGGAATGATACACACAGGTAATAAGGTCCTTTTTTCTGTCAAGTACACTGAACCAGAATTAAAATAACAAGCAAATTTGTAAATGGAGAGCTCAGAAAATACATTTTAACAAGTAGGAACTCCACAATGACAGCATAATGGTTATGTCATTGGACTCCCATGCAGTTGACAGCAGTAGGAGTCCCAGAACCTGTGGCTTAAAACTCATGCTGGGCATATGGGTGTGCATGCCTACAATCCCGAGAGTAGCAAGGAAGAGAAGGGATTGCAATGTGGCCATCACCCCTGGGGAGTGATTTCTTGTTTTCCATCTCTCTTTGTTTCTCTGGCAAGCACACACGCCCTATAGCAAAAATTTCTCTTTAAAAAAAAAAAAAAGTCTACCCTGTAATCACTACCTTCAAATCAGTACATAGTGCCTAGTTCACAAGTGCTAAACTACAGTTTTTCTGCGAGAAAACATACAAGTAAGCAAACAAACAAAAAGATGCTCATTAAATACTTCAAACCACATAAATATAAACCTAAATGAAAGTTAATTGTTTGCAATACTGTTAACATAATTTAATAATAACTATCTATAAATGGGTTGTCTAGGTAATTTCTAGTGACCTATACCAGCATATCAGCTTCATCTGAGAACTTGTTAAAAGTGCAGAATCTCTAGATACACTTAAATCGATTGGATAAGAATCTGCATCTTAACAAGATCCCCAGGGTGATTTGTAAGCACACTAAAGTTTGACAAACACGGATACAGGAAACTACGAGTTTATCATTAATTCTTTTGATACAGTTGATAGGGTCAGCAGGTGGCATAGCGGTTAAGGTGCTGGACTCCACGTGGCCAACCATGGTTTGAGTTCCACACCCATGGCTTGATGTGTGTGATCAAAACTCAGAGAGAATGGAGGAGAAGAGACTGTGGTGTGGCCATACCCTCTGGGGGCGTGATTTCTCACTTTCTCTCTCTCCATCTCCATCTCTCCAGGGAGTGAACATGCTCTATAGCAAAAGTCTCTCACTCAAAAAAAAAAAAAAAATACAGTTGATAAAATAACTTGACATTTTCTAAAGACTGAACATTTTCTTTAAAAATCTATTTGATTTACAAATAGATTAAAAAAGAGGTCAAGGACTTTTTATATGAGAAAATACATTGAAACAGTATTTTCAAACAAAAACTCCAATGTAAAATACTTTATGATGAAATACTGTAGGATTAAAAGGTAACAAGTATCACCTAATCACCTTGCTCAAAATCCCAACTTTCACAGCTGAGTAAACTGAGGTATAGGAATGCTATCTGACTTAAAGTCAAGTCGTTTGTCAGCAGCACATTACAGAATGAAATCCAATTCTACTGCTGCCTACATATATGCTCTTTACAGTGAAAAAAAATTAAATTATATCTTCTGCAATAGACATTATACAGTCAATATAAAGAATTAAAAGTATGCACAATTTTGAAGGAATGAAATAATATACCTATAAAAAATAGAAAACCCATCAATAATATATCTCAATAATGTTAATGTGCACTTCATTCATTCCTTAAAAAAAAGAAAGAAGGATGGCAAGCAGGTGGTAGGGAGATTATGATGGCTGGATCCCACATGGCTGACTAAGCAGCTGGGAGTCCTAGACCAGGCAGCCTGAGAATCACTCTGGGCAGGTGTGCATGTATGCCCAAAATCCTGAAAGGAGAATGAAGGAGGAAGGACTGTGGCATGGCCATCCCTTCAAGGAGTTATTCCTTACTTTTCCTCTCTATTTCTCTCTCTCTCTCTCTTTCTCTGTCTCTCTCCTGTGAAGACATACACCATATAACAATGGAATAGAAAGGAGAAGGGAATCTGGGGCGTGGTGGCACCTGCCCTATGGCAAGAAAAGAGAAGGGAATCTGGAAGCAGACAAAATTTGAACATAACTTATTAATACATAATTTTTGAAGAATGACACCATTACTGCTTTAAGAGGCTGCATCTCTTTGTTGAATTAAACTGGAAATTTAATTTTAGACTTATTATAAATTTGGCTTTGCTACTTTAGTTTTGCCATAAATCAATAAATAAAACGTTTTTCACATATGGCTAATTTCTGTAGCTATTAACATAGAAACAGGCACACTTAACATAAGAATTTTGTAAATTAATGTAGAAAAAGTAAACTCTTCCGTCTTACCATCAAAGAAGCTCTTGGCTCTCAGGTAACTGACACTGAGCCTAAGAACTGAAAGTTTGTCCAGCTTATTAATAACATCTTGTGGAAAAGGGAGAAGGCTAGCCAAACGGTCCAACTCTGTATTAAGACGATCTCTATGTCGCTTGGAAGGATTTGACTTGATTCCTTCAGCTGGGATTGGCTTTACTCTGAAAAACAAACAAAATACCATGAAAATCCTATAAAAATATAAGGCAAAAATTTCTACTGCATTATAACATGTCTTCAAATATTTCTCTAACACAGCAATTTTTAAAAACTATGTCAAGTTGACATAAATCTTTCCAAAATCTTCCTTTCATATCTTAATTAAGAAAAATAAGGAAAGGGGTAAAATTCTTCATAATGTTTTATTAAAAGGCTTATGAACTACTCATACAAAAATGCTTATAAAAATAAATTTTATGAAGATGCTTATGTATACTTTATACATTTATAGAATAGTGATTCCCAATTTCATGAATCAGCTATGATTTTTTTTTTCCCCACTTGAAACAGCCATTGTTAGGGAAAGGAAAGAAAAAAAAATCTATAACAAATTATGTGAAAATCATGCTTCCTTTGCTGTCTTCCACAAGAAGCATTTCAACCTCATTTATGCTGCAGATAAACAGAAACAATCCTAAAAAATAATGTTTATCTTCACCATGCCCAGCTTCCTATATTTATACAGTTTCTTCCCATTAGTCATGATTTTCCAAAGCCTTTGCTGGCATCCCCAGATGATCCTCTAGCCATCTACTATGGTCCTCGCTCATTAAAATAAGAATAAATTCAAATCCAAATTTACTTATTTGTTTTTATTGATTAACTAACATTACAGGTCAACTGTGATTAGAGGTTAAATGTGATTACTTGGAACTTTTGCTTTTATGACTAGGCAATAATTCTACTTAATTATTAGCTTTTGCGATTTGTGACTCATGAAACTCTAACAATTTAACATGATTTCCACCTGAGAGAAAAATTACAGGTAAGAGAGAAAAGTGAATAAATGAGAAGTTGGATGGCTTCATACAAAGGCTTTAGCCAGCACTGCAGAGCAGAAATTAATCAGATGATCAGACACCCATGCTGGCATATAAATAAATGTTAAAAAACTAAAGAAAGTAATGGTTAGACTATACCCACCTCTCCATTAGCCAGAGAAGTAACTCTCCATAATATTCTTTTTTTTAAAATAATTATTTTATTTTAACTTTATTGATTATTATTGTTACTTTCCAGTTTGATCATACAGACACAGAGAGAGAGAGGGAAAGTGAGAAAGCAAGCCATCAGATTCAGGACTTGAACCAAGGTTGGCCATGTGGGAGTCCAGTGCCTTTAACCACCACGCCACCTGCCGGCCCCTATCCATAATATTCTTACAACAAAGACACTTTTGACAATTCAAATGGAACTACGTTGTTTTATAAAGTAATATATGCAGAAAGATGACAAAAATACGGGATTTTAACATGATTTTAATGCTAGTCTCAGCATTTGTCTATTCCATTTCTCTCTTATAGCTTATATTGTTTCCCCAAAGAGAGGGTACTAAAATGGGTAAAGTGGTACAAATAAGTGAATACTTTCTTCCGACTATTTTCAACCTGAATATACACTGGATATTGGTGATTGTTTCTCTAGCCATTTTCCCTTAATCGAATGACATTTATAATCAAATTCAAGTCACAACTAATTACTACATTTCTCCAATAAATTAGCTGAATTTTAACTTTTACCTTTAATGGTGGTCTATCTCACTTTATAATCCTCTACTGGTTATTAACTTATTAACAAATATTTATTTCCACCCATTATATCCCAGACAGCTCAAGAAAACTCTGTACACATATTCAGAGATATGGAAGCTAAGAAGGAGCAACTATTGAGAAAAGATTTCATGGGGCAGGTGGTATCTGAGACAGATTTTGAAAAATGAATAGAATTTCATGAAGGGTCATAACTGGGGAATGGTGAACAGTGCGAAGTCCCTTATCTGCCGTGTGAAACACAGGGCAAGAGAGAGAGAAGGGGTCACACAATTGGGTCCACAGTCTTTCAATGAATACTGAACAGAACCACCTACCAAGTGCTAGGTACTTAGCAGTAAACCAAAAATACACAAAAATTCCTGCTCACATGGAACTTCCATCTCCACTGGAGAATAGAGAAAGAAGTAAATTAATATATAACTTTTTGGACCAGTGAGTGTTAAAATAAATAAATAAATACATAAATAAAGTAAAGCAAAGTAAGGAACTCATGCAAGGTAAGGATGGAGGTGCTGGTTTTGACAGCCAGGGAAGGCCTTCCTGATGTGATACTTCAGACATAAATAAAATGAAGGAGTGAGTCATGTGGGTATCTGATTGAAAATGTTCAAGATAGAGAAACAGAAACTTTCCTCAAAGTAATGGTACAAAATTGGACTTTGGTAGCTGGGAGTCATCTTAACTGTGGAGTTGGGATTTATACAATCAGCCTTATGTTTTACCAAACTGAACCTGGTGATAAAGAATATGAGAAGCAGGGCGGGGCTTGCTGAAGTTACAGGTTTCTGCCACCAGGAACTCCTTTCAACAACATAAATCTGACCATGTCACTCCTCCAACAAGCATGTTCCTTAGCCTAGCACACGAATCTTTCAGGATCTTTCTAGCCTCTACCTATTCATCTGGCCTCACTGCTCTCAGCCAAACTCCTTCTTGTTCTTCATCCTCCAGAGCTAAGAAATTGGGTCTATAGCTATCTATACACATATACCTGGGTAATTTTAGACAATTGCTCTTTCCACTCACTCTGAGTCCCTGCTCAATCAGATCACTTTTACACATCTTCCCTGGCCCGTCTCACAATAGACCAGCTAGTCCACATCACAAAACATTGAATCTTACACAAATGTCTTATATAATCAAGTCATTAAAGAGTATTCTACACAAATAATCTCACACAAATCGAAAATATGTATACAATCCAGTTACGCACACTTGGTATTTTTCCAGTAATGATTATGAAACACTGGAGAGAAAAGAGTAACACAAATGTGGAAACAAGACCAGCTGATATGACACAGAGAAATAACAGTAATTTAAAAGCCGTCTCCATACCGTGTTTCTGCCTGTCTGTGCAGGGTCTCTGCAGTGATGGACCCTACACCGGCATTTAAGACTGTCACTCTACAAAATGCAATATTGCCCACATTTCTAATGTGCTATTACATACTTTAGGAAATATTTATCATAAGACTACATTTCGGTAAGTGTTAAGTAACCTATCTGCATAAAGTTGTTTGCTGCTCTTATGTAATAAGAATAGCCTCTTCTTGGTATCCTTAGTGCCCAGTGTAGTACTTAACACAGAAAAGACTCTCAATTCATGTTAGTGGACCAGAAAAAAAAAAAAAAATGACCAGAGGCTGACCAAAGGCAATGACAGTAAGAATGGCAAGAAAGGATTGGCTTGAAGAGAGATTTTAAAGCAGACTCAAAATATTCACTGAATGAAACTGACTCAGTATAGGAAGAATGGAAGAGACCTCTGAGTGATGAGGGGTAGCAAATGAATCTGGGATTTGTAACTTAGACAAACAACTACTCTTCCTAACGGGAGGTCTACTAACAAAAGAGTGGCTGGAGGACGGACCTCAGTGAGGTCAGCATTTAGGTATCAGGCTGAGAAGCACAGGTGGAAAGACACAGGCAAAGACAACAGAGGAAGACCTAGTAAGGTAGAAGGGACAAAGAGCCAGGGTGAAACACTGGGTCGTTGGAAAAGTCATGACACATTTTTGTACAGAGAAACACAGAAAAATATGTCATATCTTTTCTGACAATCCAATATATCTGGAGGTTGGAGAAGCAAGTAAATGCACAAAGCAACTGAGTGAGGTCAGGACTGAGAAGTACCCAGCAATTCAAATCGTCTGTGTTCCCACCGGATATGAAGCTTTGGAAGTGTCAGGCTGTTAAAGCAAAAGTAATAATATTAGACTTGCTTCTTCACTAGTTTTGTAAGAAATACTCAGTATTTTGCAAAGCTATTTCGTAAACATCCATACACATGGAAGATGTGCAGAAAGAATTAAACATAGAGAGCATTCCTACATCGATTACACTTGAGTTGGAACATGCTAGTGCTCTGACTTTTGTCTTAGCTTTAAATATATGCTGAAATAGATGGCCTACCATTCTTTATGCAAAAGGTTATATTTGGAATATAAACAAAGGGCCCTATAAGACTGGATTTGGGAGCTCCAGGTTTCAGACATCTGAAATAGAGAAACTGTAAGAAGCCTATCAGGCAAAGGAGCAACTTAACATTTTTTTTAAACTGTAACCTCCACAATCCTGTCTCAACCTGTAAACCAATACTGTTGTGAAACCAAGGCTCCCGCTGACTGCACGCCATGCTTCTGTTTTAGAAGCCACGCACGTCGTAAGTACTGGTGATAACAGGCCCAAAGGTGTCCCATGCCAGTTCCAACGTTATCTTTAGTGCCTTTTTAACATCCCCATCTACAATGTCTGAAACTCCTCATTTGTACCCAGTGTTAAAGTTTAAAAAAAAATCCCGTTTAATTGTGAATTAACACAACTGTGAGTTTTATATAATATTTATCATAAAACCTCAAATGGCATGCAAAGTTACAGTTTCAGTAATCCTATGAGATTAAAGTGACATTTTTAAACAAGAGATGATTTTGCTCAGAACTGAGTGTGCGGTATCAGCTTTTTCCTCTAGGTGATTTAATCAACGTCTACTGCCTCAGTCTACTTCCCAATAACTTCTTTGTCTTTAGTTCCAGGCCCAATCTCTGAATGCTCTCTCATTCATATTTTCCAGAATTGGGGCCACCCTTCTTGGCAGCTACTATGGTGTTACAGCTAGAAAATCGGAAGCATTCCTCAATAAAATCCCTATACCACATTAAGTACATCCAGTAAAACCTAACCCTTAACCCCAGCATTAGTGCATACTTATTTATTTCCGATATGAATTCCAAATGTTTACAGTAATAAACAATAATCCTAATGTAATATTATAGAGATGATACATAGCAGAAATAACGCCAAACGTCATTGCAAGGCCACAGCTGGATATTTCACGTTCCCATCTAGAGGCAAAAACACATCTATGAAAATGTCTGAGAATTCTGGATGAA